CCTCTAAGGACCTGACTAAACCGGCACGCTGATGGAGTCTTGTTAAGAAGAAGGAAGCGAAAAACTTCTTTTTTTTTTTTTTTTTTCTTTTTTTTTAAATCTTAGAACATGATTTGTGTTCTGCTGCCTTCTGCACATGCCATGTTTATTAAAATGGATCATGTTTTAGCTCTGTTTGTTCAGCAAGTTACACCCCTTTGTTACAACATTCAGCTTAGACAAGTGGGGGGGGGGGTGTAATTAAAAGTGCCTTTCAGTTCCACAGTTTGGTTTCCATGACAGTCTTGATGCACTATTATGTTTAAGGTTTTGATTTTTTCATGTTATAGTATATACACACTATATAGAAATATATTGCTTAATATTATCATATTATTCACTGTTCTTGTGTCACGATTGTGGAATTGTCATTAACTTTTGAAGTCTGTGTGTGAAATACTGAAACAAATTTTTTTTTTTCTTCAGTATATTTAAGTTTTCATACAGTATTTTTCACTTTTTCTCCTTTTTTCTTTCTTTCAGAAGAATTCTCCATCCAAGCCGTCGGTGGCTGAGCTGGCCGGAAAGTTCAAAGGTCATATTCTTCCAATACCCAACTCAAATGGCGAGGTAATGCATTTTATTTGTCCTGTATAACAAAACAAAAGTCTATAAACATGTATGTCCGTGCAGAACATTATTCAAATATATGTGCTTTCTTAAAGGAAGCAGTTAGTGAATCATTGCTCGTTCTCTTCCCTTAAATTTGTAGCCTCGAAGACGACCTCCGTGTTCCCTGAAGTTGCGAAATCAAACGGATGATAACGACGAGTTAGATGTGAGTCACCGCGTTCGTTCATTGACCCGCGTGTTACGTTTGGCTTCTTGAAAGTCCCCAGAAGACAGACTTGGATTTGTTTACTGTGCATGTTCATTGCAGCCTCACAGTTTCAACATAGTGGGTAGTGTAATGTTGATAAATGTGGTATTTTATTATTTGTGTTTTTAGTTTTCTTCTTCTGCCTCAATCATTGGGAAAGGCCTGTTGTTTTTCCTCCCAGTAAAATGACAACATGCCAAACAAACTACGCAAATCTATCATTGAGTTATGGGCCAATAAAAAGCACAACAGAAATGT